AAAAAAATATTCTATAGGTCACATTTAATGGTGGTACTAGATTCTTTGGAATCCGTGAGGATGCTCTTTGCCAACTATGTAAAACGAGTGAGGACCTTGTCATAAGGAAGCCTTCCATAAAAGTTTATGATTGAAATATAATAATACCACTAAATTTTATTTTAAAGAAGTGCTTTGCCAGATTAAGTCACTTAGGTAAATTATTCTTGAGTCATTAAAAATTTTTGGTTTAATATGAAATTATTTTTAAAACTTAACGGTACTAAAAAGAAAAGCAAAGTGTCGATTTTTGTGCATTAGTAATTGTGGAATAATTTGATAATTTTTGATTAAAATATATAATGATGAAGATTTAACAGGTAAAATAAACTCAAAGGTTTCAAGAAAAATTTATATGGCTCACTATCTAAAAATTAAATCTTTTGATTTAGATATATTTAATAAATTTTAAATTAAATTTTATTGTAGAAAGTATTTCGTATAGAAACTAATTAATGCTGAAGTAAAATCTATTTAAAAATGGAGAAAGAATCTAACAAAAGAGTAAATAACAAGGGAAAAGGTATATAAACAAGTAAGAAAAGACATATTACAAATTTAAAAAGAAAATTAAGAAGAAACGTAAGGATAATTATCTAATTTATATAATTAAGTTTTAGGTGGAAAAAATGACAACTAATGATTAAGTTATATATTATTCAATATCTTCTTCTTAAAGGATAGCAAATAGGTAGAAGCTAAAATTGTGAAAGATTATTTTCTAAACCGTTTTTTTCCTTTTAGTACATACAAATTTTAATCAACATATAATTCTTAACAAGACTTTAGTCTTTTTAAGATTTTGCTTCTCTTATCAAATTTGAGTTAATGTCCATAGGAAACCTTCATATCTTCAAGAGTTTCTCTAATGCAAATGCTTTAAAGATAATACAGCTTTATCAAGTGAATTTATTATTCTTCTCATCCTTATTATCTTTGAATGATAATAAAAGAGCATTATTCATTATTTTTGTTTTCTAAATTTTTGAGAGTCAAAAGTTTCGGTTCGATTATTTTGAATAGTATTAATAAAATAAAATACTAGCAACCTTTATAAACGAGATTTAAATTTTTGTAGAATTCAGATATCAATTTATTACATATATTGTTAAATTAAAAACATTTTAAATAAAGGATTTTAGGATTTTTGCATAAATATCTCATCAAGTAATCTGGAGGAATGATGGTAAGATAAAAGAGCAGAAATCAGAGTTCAAGTCTCTGAGTTTATTAATATATTATTAAATTAATCATTTTTTGTAATAACTTTTTTATAAAGAAAATATATTTACGATGCTTTGATTTGTGCATTAATACAAATTAAATGTTTAAATTTTTAATCAAAAGTCGTATAGTTTAGATCAAGAATTGTAATCCAAACTCATTGCACTTTTATTTAGAATTACTTTATCATAATAAATGAATATTATTTTAAAGCTTGCGGATATTAGATACTGATTTCATAAATTCTTTTCATCAAACATAATATATAAATTCAATTTCATGTAATAATAACTATTTATTCCTTACACTGAGGCTGTGAATTTCTTGGTTAAATTAATGTTTGGAGATATTTTTTACGAAGCCTTGATTATCTTCTTCAAGCAAATGAGTCAGAATGATGAATAAATTTTCTCAAGAATCTAAGCAAGAGATCAAATCTTTTTTTAAAAATATCAAAATTTTATGCGATAAAATAAAAAATTTTAATATATCTTGAATAAACCTTAAGTTTCTCATTCTTTGATTGCAATTTCTTACTAATCAAAAATTATTTTTGATTAGTTTTTATTAGGCTTTAAATGATACTATTTATTTAGTTTATAGACTTTATTTAATTCTTATTTTTTATTCCATTAAATTACTATGGACTCATTTATTAAGTAAATTAAAATTGGTTTAATTGTTCTATTAAAGTATTATTTATTCAAAATTTTTTGACATAAGATCTTATCTTAATACTACAATCAGAAAATATATAAACTGAATTTCCATTTTGTTACAAAAAGCTCCATTTTATAAATAAACATACTTTACATTAACAAATCCAACTATTACTTTATAATTAGTTGGACATAAGTATTTTAGCAGTATTTTTATTTATTACATAAAGTGCATCTCTATTCGACTTATTTTGAGGTCTTCTCTCATTCATAACTACTTCAAATACTAATGCTTAAGTAATATGGTTCTCTGTTATTTTTCACAATCTTCTAAAATTAGTTAAAATTTTGCCTTTTTTAATTAAAAGAAAGGATTATCAAAGGGGTGCATAAGTTTTATTTAAAGATCTCAAGGAATTGGATCCAAAATTAATCTTTTTTCATCGACCTAATTACGCCATTTATGAACGCTTCAAAGTTTAGAGCATTTTCTTTTAAGTATATTCATTTTATCGTTTACTTTCATTACTTAAAAAGGAAGAAAAAAATTGAAAAAAAAAATATTTCAGATATGATGTAAGAAAGAAATTTTGAAAATATACTGTTCTTTAATAATAATCAATTTCACTTTTAATAGAAATCTATTTAATCTTCTAAAATGTAACTTCCTTTTGATTTAAGCAATGTTCGTAAATCCTCACCCAATTAGTTTTTAAATTCTCCTCTTAGAATTTAAGCGCCTTATGCTTAAAATAATAGTTATTGGGATATAAAAATAATAGGAATATAAGAATTAGCTTAATTAATATAAATAGATACAATGTGGCAAAAATGATTTATTTTATAGTGGTGTTTTAAACAAAGCAAGAATAGTTTAATAATAATTATCTTAGGAAGAAATTATTTGTCCTGTTTTGAGATCCCATAATTGAATTGTATCGTTTTTGCGGCCAGATAATAATGTTGTACCGTCAGGGGAGAAACATAATGACTAAGAGTTATTAATATGACCAACTTTGTCGATTATATATTATCCTGTCTGAACATCGGATAATAGAATAGATGCATTATTACTACAAGATGACAATGTTGTTCCATCAGGAGAAAAACATACTTAATATACAACGCTATTATAACCATCTAATTTTGCTTTTTAATTTCCTGTCTTAGCGTCCCATAAACGGATAGACTTATCAGCACTCCCTGATGCTAATTGTGTACCGTCAGGTGAAAAACATACTGAATATACAGTGCTACTATGACCATTCAATTGAGCTATTTATTATTTTGTCTTAATAGACCACAAATGAATCGAGTTATCATAACTCCCAGATGCCAGTGTTGTTCCATCAGGTGAGAAGCATACCGAATATACAGTACTATTATGACCATCTAATTTGGCTTTTGAATTTCCTGCCTTAACATCCCATAAACGGATAGACTTATCAGCACTACCTGATGCTAATATAATACCATTAGGCGAAAAGCATACTGAATATACACTACAAACATGGCCTTCTAATTTTTTTTTTTATTATTCTGTTTTTATATCCCATAAACGGATCGATTTATCATAACTAACAGATGCTAATGTTTCATCAGAAGAAAAGCATAATTACCAAACGACGCTACTATGACCATCTAATTTGGCCTTTTAATACCCTGACTTAACATCCCATAAACGGATAGAGTAATCAGAACTACCGGAGGCTAAGGTGGTGCCATCAAGTGAGAAACATACAGAATTCACACTCCCACAATGTCCAACTAATATGGCTTTTTATTAACCTTTCTAAAAATCCCACAAACGAATAGATTTATCATCACTTCCAGAGGCTAACGTAGTTCCATCAGGAGAGAAGCATACTGAATATACAGCACTAATATGGCCATCTAGTTTACCCTGTTATTGTTCTGTCTAAACATCCCATAAACGGATAGAATGATCATCACTTCCAGATGCCAGTATTATTCCATTAGGTGAAAAGCATACTGAATATACAGTACTATTATGACCATCTAATTTGGCTTTTTAAATTCCAGTCTAAACTTGCCATAAACGGATAGAATCATCTTCACTTCCAGAAGCCAATGTTATTCCATCAGGTGAGAAGTAGACTGAATATACAGTACTATTATGACCATCTAATTTGGCTTTTTATATTCCTGTTTTAACCTCCCATAATCGGATAGATTTATCAGAACTACCAGATGCTAATGTAGTGCCATCAGGTGAAAAACATACTGAATAGACACCTGATGAATGACCATTAAATTTGGCTTTTTATTATTCTTTTTTAACATCCCATAATCGGATAGAGTTATCAGAACTACCAGATGCTAATGTAGTGCCATCAGGTGAAAAACATACTGAATAAACATCTGATGAATGACCATCTAATTTGGCTTTTTATATTCCTGTTTTAACATCCCATAATCGGATAGATTTATCAGAACTACCAGATGCTAATGTAGTGCCATCAGGTGAAAAACATACTTAATAAACACCTGATGAATGACCATCTAATTTGGCTTTTTATATTCCTGTTTTAACATCCCATAATCGGATAGAGTTATCAGAACTACTAGATACTAATGTAGTGCCATCAGGTGAAAAACATACTGAATATACAGTATTACTATGACCATCGAATTTTGCTACTTATTATCCTGTCTTAACGTCCCATAAACGGACGGAATTATCATTACTTCCAGATGCTAATGTCGTACCTTCAAAAGAGAAGCATACTGAATAAATCGTACTAAAATGACCATCTAATTCTGACTTATATTATCTTGTCTTAACATCCCATAAATTTATATGTTTATCACTTCCAGATGCCAATATACTACTATCAGGTGAGAAACATATTGAGTAATGAGTTCTATTATGATTATCAATTTAGAATTTTAATTCTTCTTTATTAACATCCCACAAGCTGATTGACTTATCTGCACTACTAGATGCTAACATAGTACCATCAAATGAGTAACATATCGAAAAGACAGTTCCACTATGACCATCTAATTTGGCTTTTGCTTATCCTGTCTTAACATCCCATAAACGAATAGACTTATCTGCACTACCTGAAGCTAATGATGTTCCATCAGGAGAGAAACAGACTGATGTAAGAATTGATGAATGACCATCTAATTTGGCTTTTTATATTCCTGTTTTAACCTCCCATAATCGGATAGATTTATCAGAACTACCAGATGCTAATGTAGTGCCATCAGGTGAAAAACATACTTAATAAACACCTGATGAATGACCATCTAATTTGGCTTTTTATATTCCTGTTTTAACATCCCATAATCGGATAGAGTTATCAGAACTACTAGATACTAATGTAGTGCCATCAGGTGAAAAACATACTGAATATACAGTATTACTATGACCATCGAATTTTGCTACTTATTATCCTGTCTTAACGTCCCATAAACGGACGGAATTATCATTACTTCCAGATGCTAATGTCGTACCTTCAAAAGAGAAGCATACTGAATAAATCGTACTAAAATGACCATCTAATTCTGACTTATATTATCTTGTCTTAACATCCCATAAATTTATATGTTTATCACTTCCAGATGCCAATATACTACTATCAGGTGAGAAACATATTGAGTAATGAGTTCTATTATGATTATCAATTTAGAATTTTAATTCTTCTTTATTAACATCCCACAAGCTGATTGACTTATCTGCACTACTAGATGCTAACATAGTACCATCAAATGAGTAACATATCGAAAAGACAGTTCCACTATGACCATCTAATTTGGCTTTTGCTTATCCTGTCTTAACATCCCATAAACGAATAGACTTATCTGCACTACCTGAAGCTAATGATGTTCCATCAGGAGAGAAACAGACTGATGTAAGAATTGATGAATGACCATCTAATTTGGCTTTTTATATTCCTGTTTTAACATCCCATAATCGGATAGAAGTATCAGAACTACCAGATGCTAAAAAAGTACCGTCAGGTGAGTAACAAATTGATTAAACTGTTCCAGAATGACCATTTAATTTGGCTTTTTATTATCCTGCCTTAACATCCCATAAAAGGATAGAGTTATCCCAACTACCAGATGCTAATGTAGTACCATCAGGAGAGAAGTTGACTGAAGATACATAATGTGAATGACCATCTAATTTGGCTTTTTATTATCCTGTCTTAACATCCCATAAACGGATGGAGTTATCCCAACTTCCAGATGCTAAAGTAGTGCCATCTAGAGAGAAACAGACTGATTGAACATTATTTGAATGACCATTTAATTTGGCTTTTTATTATCCTGTTTTAACATCCCATAATAGGATAGAATTATCAGAACTTCCTGATGCTAATGTAGTACCATCAGGAGAGAAGGATACTGACTATATAGTGCTACTATGACCCTTTAATTAATTCAGTTCGTTTATTTTTATGTTTCTCCATTTACAATTAAATAACTATGCTCCACTCAAGTTCATTCCACTAATGTCTACATTATAAAAAACAGATTAGCTTAAATTACATCTTACAAAATTTGCCTTTCTCAATGAAGTATCTTGGATTCTGATATTTTCAAAGCATTATTCTTTTAGATCAATCTACATGTCTACTAAAAGATTTAGGGAATTTGATCCACATTAAATTAAACTTTCATCTATGGCAGTAAGATGAACTATAAATTTTAAAAATTCAATAATATTCTTTTCTTTCTCAATTTTAGCAATTAATTTTTTTCTGGTTTCCTTATATTCTTATTATGAATAGTTTTTTTTATAAAAATCAAGACCATTAATATTTTTTAGGATATTAAATACTATGTGAATTTTATTTTTTATAACTGTTAACTTCTGGCTATTATCCAAAAATGATAAAATATCTAATTAATAAATATACTTTTTGTAGTGCTTTTGATTACAGTATTTAGAAAGAAACCCTAGACAATCTGTAATTTTCTCTTTTCTAAATATTTCTATTAATAGGCTATATATTTATTCGTCAATATTTCTTGCTAAAATTAATACTTCAAATAAGTCTTCCTTATATTAATATATAGGTCGAATCCTTTAGTATGATTAAAAACTTACTTAATTAACGACTCTTCCATATCGTTCTACAACTGGTTACTAAAAGCTGCAATTTACTATTCCCACCAATTCTTTGTCTATTCCAATTGCATCAAATAAAAATTTTTCTCATCATTCCAATCGTTTAATGTATTTTCTACTACAATTTCTACTAATTTTTCTAATTCAGAATATGTCAATTCTACTAAATTCTTGTTTTCATTAATCAGATTGAAATATGATTAATTTTCCATTTCAATCATATCGTATATTTATTATATTGAAACATATAATTCTTCCCAAATTTTTTTTAGCATGGCTTGTGTTTGAGAGAGAATCTATTTAAAATTTAATCTCTATTTAGTTAATTCAGTTGTTGTTTGATTGATCTGTGATTCCTCTAATCTCTTATTAATTATTTCTCTAAATTTTTTAATCGATACAATATATTGAAAATCCACTTTATGTTCATCTAGGCATTCAGGGCAAAGCTTCCTTTAGCATTCACACTTATGAGGAGCTATACATACAGATGAAATTTGATTTGTAATGTGACAAGGGCAATTCATTATTTTATTAAAAAATGATTCTTTTTCTATTAATTGAAAAAAAAATTTCTTATATCAAATGAGTTTTGACAATCTGAAGAATAAAACGATCAAATCTGCTTCTTAACATTTAATCATCGAGATCTTAATTCCTTTTGCATGTTTAGAAATATTTTAGCTCAATTGCGGTACAATTCTCTAACAGTTTATAAATAGTGGCAGAGTTTTGAAAAAATTAAAAAAATTGCTGCTCATAAATCTTTTAAATTCATTACTGAAAAATTATTTATGCATATTTAACTTCAATTGATAGTATTGATA